CCCCCGGGCCCGCCGCGTGTCCCCCCTGTGTCGCGACAGGTCCCCCACACGGGGCTGCCCGGGCAAAGCTGCGACCGAAGTCCCCGTTGGTGCCAGCCCTGTCCCAGGGGCAAAGGGTCACAGAACCAGCAGGCGCATCCAGGGAGGCACACGGGTCTCTCCTGAGCTGCCCAGGTGCGCGCTGCTCCCCTCTGGCTGTGCAAGGACAGACCCCGGGGAGCACCTTCCCCGGGCGGGACCCCGCAGCGCCAGGCAGGACGAGGCCACGGCCCGGGCCGCACGGGCAGGGACGGCCCCGCACACAGCACAGCAGCAGCGTCCCGGCAGCCCGGGCACCCGGACCTTGGAATGAGCCCCGCAGACCCCTCCCTGCCCCCCCCAGGCCGAGCCAGATTTGCGCCCAGTCCCCCTTGTACCGAAAAAGCGCGTTATTTCATGCATCCTTTTTAACAAAGAAAAGTTGTGAGCCGTCACGGGTTAATTCCTTGGGACGGTCACACAAGGGGTTGATAAAAAAATCCTCAGCCACGTAGCTGAAGCTCTGGCTCAGGAGAGACTTGTACTATTAACAAGTTTTATTTATTAACAAGTTTTAATTAATTAATACTAATTGACTTTAAATTAAATTTTAATTAACACATTTTTATTAATAGTTACTAAAACTTGTCACTAATTAACAGTTATTCTGTAACTGCCCATTACAAAATTTCTTATGTATCTCTATACTGGACAGACACAGCACATTTTTAATGAGGTGTACTTATTTTAAGTGTTCTTATTTAGGCCTCTGTGGTGCCGTGATGAATTACACGAGCTGAGACACTTTCCCGAATCCAGATTTTCTGAAACCATAACTTTGCACTGTGTGTGCCAGGCAGCCTGAGGAACAGCACTGTGAAGGAGGCACGGTTACAGACACTTCACAAGCAGTGATAGTTTGGATAAATTCTTCTTGAATAACTTCCACACCACAAAGCACAAAGCATCTAGCAGAAAATAAATGCCAGCAGCATAACCCAGTACTGGAGGGGAGTGGGGAATTCTAGAGAGAGCTACAATCATATGAATTCTACTATTGGAAAGCTAAATGTTAATCTTTCCGAATTAGAGCTTGAATAGGTAAAATACCTTCCTCATATTCCCTTCATACTTGGTTGGTGACAGCTGACAGAGCCCCAGCACAATGGAGCTGCACATTGCTCCAAGTGAGTTTCCATCTGCATTGGTTACACCACCAGCTGTGGCTGAAGATGCTTCACCCTACCTCACCTCTGCATTTATGCACACATTTTGTGTCTCTTCCAGAGAAAGCAACACAAGGTTTCTTTTGCTGCCATGGGAATCACAACATTCTTAAGCCAACAACAGTAACAGAACTGGCACCTCCTATAGTTTCTTCTTCAGTGTGTCTATTTCTGAACACAGGTCTATTAACAGATTATTATTGAAGGCATTCTGAAATTTAAAGAAATCTATTTTTGAGAAGTGCCTTAGGACTGGTAGATGAATTGGAAACAATTGCAAACTGGTTAAAACAGGTACATCAAAACAGGTTGCTCACTGAATCAGAAAGATTGGTCAGTGCTCTGTTGTGCAGGGCCAAGGGGGTTAATCTCACCATGGGTTAATACTTCCTATTATCATTAACAGAAAAATGATTATTTAAATTAGTGTAATTAAAAAGCCTCATATTTTCATTAGTTCTTAGGCCTGTATTTGCATAATGCTGAAAAGTTCAAGGAATTCCTAGATAATTCCATTAAGAATTATTCTCGGTTGCCAGCCCTCTGCAGAATGAAAATCCTGCTGTATTTCAGAAACAGCCAAATTTTTTCCCCAAGGAGTGGTGCATTCATACTGCCCTAGTTTGAAAGAAAAAAAAAATTTCTAACAGTGTTACCAAAAAAAGGCCTCAAGAGCTAGAAGAGCACACTAACAATAAGACCACAGGTCATCTACCTTTCAGACTGTACATACAGCACTTGAAGGACTACTCCAGATTATTTTTTTTTGTTTTTTGTACATTCTTGATACACAGACCCAATCAGAAAGTCTGATCTTTGTTCTTACCAAGTCTGATAAAGCTTAGCCAAATACAAACAAAGCCAAATTCTCATTCCCAAACTGAAAGAACAATCTGTTTGTACACTGTAAACCAAGTATTTCCCAACAGTACTTCATGGTCCTGATTCACTATTGGGTTTTTTTCCTGCTTTTCATACACCTGTGCAATGTTACGGTCACATTTAAACTACAACAAGGTGCCAGCACACCAGATGGTGACTGGCAGTGGGCAAGATGACACACAATCAGCTTCTCCAATCTTCTAAAGGGCCAAATCTCTTCTCTGAATTGGGTTTCTCGTAAGAAATTCAGTGAAGCTGTAGCTAATCACATCAAAGCTGGCATGATCTGTAATCGTGTTATTTACTTATCTCAAAGCCAGAAGAACCCTCTCTGTGTATTGTCATTCAAACAAACTGAAACAAACCTACATGAAAACAGCAACCATATTATAACTATAATTGACAGGTAAAATAGACACACCCAACCTTTTATTAACATTTGCACCATTTTTCTCTCAGGTCTTAGTTGGATTAACTATGTAAGTAGGATAACAAAATTACATCCTGTAACTAAATGCCCTTGAATGAAATAACATATAGCAATAGGTACTTCCAGGGGAAGTATCTAAGTAGGTATCTAAAAATATTGGACTCATGTATTTTGCTAAGTAATTCTCTCCACTGTAGTAAGCCAATTCTCAGCAGTTCTATTTGTTCATTTTTAACTTGGTCAGGCCGACACAAACACTCACAGCCACTGTATTTTAACTTCCAGGGCCTCAGAGCCAAAAAAAATTACAGATTAATCGCACAGTAAGATTAAAAAATTACAGATTAATAGCACAGTAAGATAAATACTCAGTTTTCAATATTGCCAGCTCAGGAATCTTGCATTTCTTAATTCTGTGCTCTTACAGATACTTGAAAGGGAATTCAGGGATTAGTGCTATAGAAATACAAGCAAAGGGTACTGTGAAGCCTGAAAACATGAGAAGTCACATTTAAAACATAGTGTTTGGCTTAAAAAAATCTTAGGATAAAAAAAGACTAAATCTCATCAATTTGCAGATCTTTCCTAATTCCTGAAAGGTTTGGTTTGGTTCACTGAATAGCACTAAAAATGTACCCTTATATAAATAACACAGTAGAAAAGTTTCTGAAGTTACAGAATTAAAGGAATCTTTCCTTCAGTGCACATTGGCTAAAATTCTTCATATTGATACAGTAAGACATACAAAGGTAAAAGTGGAATCTCAAAAGTTCTTAAAAAAAGAGTTTAAGCCTGTAATTTTAATAGTTTAATAGTGAATTACAAGTGCTAGGAGCATGGTATGGACTTCAAAGTATGAGACAGGTAACAGCATTGATATGGTAAATCAATCATAACTTGCTTCTTTTCTGAGGCTGCACTATAGGTACCATTTTTGTGTTGTTTATTATTCTGAGAAGCTTGGCTTACGCAAAAGGTTAACATTATGCAATTGATTTCACCCAGCAAGAGGTATTACTTGTTCTACAACCCTCCACTAACCAGTTCATTAGCTTGCTGTCTCTGTGAAACTGTAAAATACCATTTCTGATAACAAATGGGATCCATTTGCTCCTTAGGACTAAATATTGTTTAAGCAAACATCTTTAAATAAGAACTCTATAATAAAATAATCAGATTAAAATCTTCACTGCTTACATTTTCAAGTACTAATACATAGAGATATTTAAGGCTTTTCTACCACAACAAGAGTTCTCCTTAATGGAGATATGCAGATGAAATTATATTTACTGTTAATTATAAAACTAAGCTTAACAAAATTCCAATGACTCTTTAGAAATACTATCTGTCCCCACCTTGTTCATATAGGGTCAAGACTACTTACTTCATATTTCTGGTGTGAAAGCTTAAAAGTTGTTTTGAATCTAAAGTTTTGGCCATCTCTATGTTTTCAGCTGCTAAACAGGCATCTAATTTAGAAATCAAGTAGCTGTTGAGCTACAGTTTTGGTTGGTGCGAAGTGAGTTAGTGCCTGAAGAGCTGAGCCAGCCTATAGTAGCTGTGGGTCATGACTCAAAGTACCCTGGGTTGGTGCACAGAGAGATAGGAAATAATAAACTTCCTTAAAAGAGAACAGTATTCACCATAAAGATGAGTACTGCTCACACTGCCTAGCATTGCTCAAATAATCTTTACCACTAAAGTCATCTTTTGGGAAAAATACAGGCTTCTTGCAATTTTAGGAAGAAAAAAGTTTTTTTAAAAAAAGCAGAAAGAGACTGCACATTCTAATGAGTTAAACCTTATTTTGTAAGAAAAGAGAGGTTCGGAAGTTTGGAGTTCTTTTTCAAGGTAGCCTTACTTCGAACCATAGCATTATAAAAAATAATTTTAACATTTACAAATTCAAAGTGGAACATTTCAGCTATTCTCCCCAAGTCTTGCAAGCACACTTTGAAATTTGTATTTTATATTTTTCTAAAATTAGATTAAACCCAACCTCAAAGTCTCAAAATCATTGGTGAAACAATTCATGTTTTGTAGGAATATGCCTAGTAATGACCTCTTACCTGGTGATGACCTTTAAATGCACCAAAGGATGCCAGGAGTCAGTACATGACTGAAAGCTACAAGCCCTGATTATATTGACATATCTGCATTGAATTGTATGCACCTAAAGAACAAGGGTTACCACAGAATAAAGAAGGACCGGTCATGTGTCAATATTAGT